TTCTCAGGTGCAATCCCACTACTGATCAGCACAGGAGTTTTGACCTGCTCCATTTCCGACCTGGGCTGATGGGCTGGTTCACCCCTCCTTAGGCAACCTGGTGGTCCCTGCTCCTGGGAGATTAACGTATTGATGCGGAACTTAGTGCAGACACCCAATTGGCATAGCACACTACAGCCCAGAACTCCTGGGCTCAAGTGATCCTCCTGCTTCAGACTCCCGAGTAGCTGGGACTACAGGCGCCTGCCACCATGCCTGGATAATTTTTGCATTTTTAGTAGAGATGGGATTTCACCATGTTGGCCAGGCTAGTCTGGAAATCCTAATCTCAAGTGATCCACCTGCCTTGGCCTCCCAAAGTGCTGGGATTACAGACATGAGCCACCACACTTGGCCCAGAAAAAGAATTATTAGTGATCCTGAGGGATCGGAGATTCAGAACAAAGAATGAAACAACAGAAGTATGGAAACAACAGAAGCATTATAGTCGTGCCACACAAAAACGGCAGTGGGTTCTCAGGTGCTGTGAACAGGAGGATGTTCTTACATCTAGAAGGAGAAAAGAGGAAGAGGATATGTAAGCATTATCTGAAAAAAAGTAGACATTTTCCTAGAACTCATCGAAAGGGGTAACAAAGTTGTAACAGGATTTTTGGTTTTTTTTTGAGACAAGGTCTTACTGTGTCACCAGGCTGAAATAAAATGGCACAGTCACGGCTCACTGTTTACTACAGCCTCAACCTGTGGGCTCAAGCAGTCCTACCACCTCAGCCTCCCAAGTAGCTGGCATTACAGGTGTACTTTGTGTTTTTGTTAGAGAGTGAGTTTTGCCATGTTGCCCAGGCTGGTCTTGAACTCTTGAGCTCAAGTGATCATATCTGCCTTGGCCTCTCAAACTGCTGGGATTACAGACATGAGACACTGCATGGCCGTATGAGTTCTTTTTTTTGAGATGGAGTCTCACTCTGTCACCCAGGCTGGAGTGCATTGGCACAGTCTCAGCTCACTGCAACCTCTGCCTTTCCCAGGTTCAAGTGATTCTCCTGCCTCAGCCTCCTGGGTAGCTGGAACTACAGTTGTGTGCCACCACGCCTGGCTAATTTTTTGTATTTTTAGTAGAGACAGGGTTTCACCTTGTTAGCCAGGATGGTCTTGATTTCCTGACCTTGTGACTCACCTGGCTCGGCCTCTCAAAGTGCTGGGATTACAGGGTGGGCCACCACGCCGAGCTGATTTCACTTTTTTAACAAAAATTCTGGTCCAGGTGCAGTGACTCATACCTGTAATCCCAGCACTTTGGGATGCCTAAGCAGGTGGATCAGTTGAACTCAGGAGTTTGAGACCAGCCTTAACATGGTGAAACCCTGTCTCTACAAAAAAATTAGCCAGCCATGGTGGTGGGCATCTGTAGTCCCAGCTACTCGGGAGGCTGAGGTGGGAAGATCACTTGGGCCCTGGAGGTCGAGGCTGCAGTGAGCCATGATTGGGTTACTGCACTATAGCCTGGTTGACAAAGCAAGACCCTGTCTTATAAACAAAATAAACAAACAATAAACATTAACAGCATAACAAAAAGATTCAGAACAAAATCCCAAAAACTACTAGGAAAGGAATAGATGACCTACAAAGGAAGTAGAATCAAACATCAGGCATCTTCTCAGCAACACTAGAGGTGACAATAAATCAATAACCTAGGATTTTTATATATAGCCAACTACCATCAAAATGTGAGAATAACAGATACCTTCTGACATAGACTCAAAATACCACCTGCATACACTTTTTGGAAGAACTATGAAGAAGGAAAAAGGAGTTTTGAAAGAAGCTACTAAGATTTTTTTTCAAAAGTTCTGAGTGTAAAACAAGTTTTTAAATTAAATTTGGGAAAGTGAAACATGCTGAGCACATTGACGACATTAGATGTTGTTAAACACTGCAAAGAGAATTAGGAGTGGGAGGAAACTTGATAGATCCAATTGAGGCAGGAAAGGTTTAAAGAAATAAAACCTGTTAATTAGAAAATACAAAATTGGGCTGGGCTTGGTGGCTCACCTCTGTAATCCCAGCACTTTGAGAGATCGAGGCAGGTGGATCACTTGAGGTCAAGAGTTCGAGACCAGCCTGGCTAACATGTCGAAACCCCATCTCTAATTTAAAAAAAAAAAAAAATACAAAATTATAGGAATAATTTCAAGCATCAGTGATTGCAATAACAAACTTATTAAATGACATTTTTATATTGTATTCCAAAAAAATCTAGCTAATATAGCTAAATCAGAAGAAAGATTCAAGATAAAAAGCAATAAATAGGACAGAGAGGCCAGGCACAGTGGCTCACGCCTATAATCCAAGCACTTTGGGAGGCCAAGGTGGGTGGATCACAAGGTCAAGAGATCAAGACCATCCTGGTCAACATGGTGAAA